AGACCATTATCGAACACGACGGCATGGTCTGTAACGACGTGGTGAGGCTCCAAAATTTAACGTAGTCAGCTAACTGTGAATGAAAGTTTAACTTCCTTGTAAATATCCCACGGTCACTGTATGAATGTATATATCATTAGAAGTATATAATGACATTACAGCTGTATTTTTCTCACACTTACATCAAAGTAGACTCGATGAAAAGAGTGCGTGATATGTAGTTAATTACTAAACACAGAGTGTATAAGGAATACAAAGAATCCATCATGACTCATACAAATGCTTATTTTCTAACGTTCCTTCATTACAAATGGCATAATGAACACAAGTTTTTTGATAACTACTAATATGTAGAATCAACTTAGAACATGACGTGTAAATGCCTTCAGCATATTACAACTGATTTTATTTCTTCAACAAGTTTTAGTTTTGAACAACCGAGTGAAAACTGCTACACAAACGTATCCGTGGCAACGTATAAGTCAGTGTATTTACTCAGATCCTTTTCGTTATTGACTAAGCCATGTCGCTGAGTTCTTGTGTGCTGGCAGCTGAAGGCACGAGGCATTGAACAAGTGATTATTCTAATTAGAGTTTACTTATTCTCTTCAGAAGGAGAAACTGCCAAGAAAGGCCTAATTACGCAGACAAATAACGTACGAATAAAAAGTTATTTCTAAACACAAATCCCAATTTACAAACAGTATGATATCTACACTAGATAATAAATAAGGCTTAAGAACTTCATTTAATTATTGAAAAGAAAATCTAATTGATTGATTACCTAGTTCAAAAATTCCAGGTTGAAGATGGTTAGCTATGTTGTCATTCAATAGAGACTTGACAGGCGAGTAGCACGAGCGAAGAGCTTTCTCCTACTTCAGCCTGCAAAACAAAAAGTTAGCCCTGGTGTAGTATCGTCAAACTGATAACTACGAATTACGTATAACAACATCCACTGAATCCGAAAACAAGTAATATTTAATCATCTCGGCCAGTGGTGAAATACTGGAATTCATCTTTTCGATTTAAACTTAACTTCCAAAAAATACAAAAACTAATGGTACAGCCTTCCAGAAAGAAGCTGGACTCCCCTTGGAATTACCAAAAGAACCAATACTGGGTTTCTGGGGGTACTGAACGAGTCTCAGCACTCAGCTTTTGCTCAACAGAAACACACACACATATATAAATATATATAAATTACCAGAACTCAGTATTAAGATAACGTAAAAAGTTTTCAAAATTATAGGCTTAACTTAAGGCACTCACGTTAGAAAAGTTTCCCCGACTAAGTGTGTTATATATTAAAAATGAATAAGGATGGCTGATGCTCATTTATCTTATATAATACGACCCTGAAATACACATATATATAGGAAAGGGATATATATGTTTCACTTCGTATGAGCTGTACATAAGTCAAGCCTAATCAATAGTAACTTTAGCCTATATTTGGCAAATGTCTGTATATACGTCAGCTGTGCACCTGGTGGTGATTTATATATTTTGTGCTTGTATAATTACGAATTGCACAAAGTATAATTTGGGGTTACTATTCATACAAAAGTTTATATAAATATGAAGCCTAATTAAAAAAACAAGGATGTGTAACACGTGGTATAATATTAATTGTGGTTATTATTTGACGTGGTATTGATTTTAGATATCAATTTCATCAATAAATATGAAGCCTAATTAAAAAACAAGGATTAACACGTGGTATAATATTAATTGTGGTTATTATTTGACGTGATATTGATTTGAGATATTAATTTCATCAGACAAGTATTGATTGATGGACTTTTTTTTTCACAGCCTTATCGGCACGTATATTTGTCACAGATTTTGAACGAGTAACAAAGAAACTTCGGAAAAACTGTATCATGGAAATAAATCCAGAGTGACGTGACAAGCGCTACTGCCAGAAGTGATTACAAACGTAAAAAGTTATGCAGACGTATGACCTATTTATAGACCTATTTTTCAGCAATGAATCAGGTCATAAGTCTTTAAAAATATATCAATGCCCCTCCTTTGAGGGAGGAAGACATGAAAATAGCCCTTAAGTCTCGCATAATATTGGATCTAGATTAGTAATGCACTGTTATCTTTGTAACATCAGCAAAATATAACACTATTGTGACAGTTTGAATTCATATGTATATGTACGCATATTCGTACAAAAAAAATCCGTCTTTGTTGACTCCTACCGGTTTTTTCATAAACTTTAGTGATTTTAGAAATATTCCTATTTATCAGTTTCTATGATAGACTAAGATGTCACTATATATGGTACTAGGCATCGTTACAGAATGAAAGAAATATTAGCACAAGTAATAGATACCTCGTTCACTATTCTTCTCCCCATAAAACTTTACAAGGAGGATGGTGCCCCCAGTGATATGTCTGCGGTCTTATACTGCTAGAAACCGGGGTTTGATACCCGTGATAGCCCTTTGTGTGTAGCTTTGTACGTGATAACAAACAACAAAAAGGAGGGTGAGTCGGCAAAAGGTGTCAGTGCTAAACAAAATATTCACGTTACACTTTTCAAATTAAAATCAGTTGTGAACCCTAAAAAAAAAACCCTTCATACTACACTTTAAATATTGGTATTATAGGGCGAAGATGCATATATATCCGAAACTCGAAGCATTTCTAACAGTTTCTTCACAATCTCTCTGACTGGTTCCCGTCAGGATTAAATGATCCACTTATATATATATTCCATTTTATCAATTGGAGATGTGACTTTTTTCTAAGAAAGACAGAAATTGGAATCATATACGTGTAGCATTAAACAAAACTATTT